CAGCAGAATATGTTCATCGCATTTTCTCGATTTCTGTAAGGATAGCACTGAAGATAATTCTTTTAAATTTGAGAGATGTTTGCTTTAGCACCTTACTTTTAGTTCCTTCTTAGTATATCTCTTCTTTTCTCTTACTCACCTTAATTGGCAATAGTTTGCTTGCCATGCCTACCATATAAAATCTGCTTTGTATATTTTCATGGAAAAGCAATCACCATGGAGACCAGATAAAAATAAGGGCAGGTCTCCTATGCCTTTTATTAGCTCTGTGTAGAAAGACGTAATTTTGTCAGATGCAGTTTCTCTTGCAGACTAACAAATCTGTTATTGTTCCTCTTTAATCTTTAATGTACTAAATATAGATTCAGAAACTCAATCTTGTAGGACAGATGTTAGAATCTGTGATTTGAACTGTTAGGTTTGGACTGAGTTCATTTCTAGTTGAAGCACGCTGAATATATTAAGAATGGATCACACATGCGGTCAAGGTTTTGTATGCAAATTACCACCCTTTGGATCCATGCATACTTCACAGTCATAATTCTGTGATTCCACTTTAATTGCCATGGTTCTATCCAATAGAATTAATTCTGGGATTTGCAGTTTAGAGGGCGAGAATTCTCAATCAGAGGGCTCCAGTGCCTTCTTAAGCTAAAATCTTATTTTTCCATAGGATGTTGCTATGCCAACTCACATGGGATCATATTGCTATAATTGTATAGTGTGAAAGACCCTTGAGATATATGACAGCTGCCTTTGTCAACTTGATGCTTTCTGAGTACACAAGAGAGGATTTTGACTCCCATTGTCTCAGCCAGGGTTGTACAATAGCCATGCAGGCTGGAGAATAGTAGCTGTACTCAGATTTAGCCAGAGGCTGCCAGGTTGTAGAAAAGTCTGTATTAGAGATTTTTTTTTCATGGCTGAGGGGGAGAATGCATACATAATTGACAATGCATGGAAGGGGAAGGGAAAAAGAGCCTATTCAAATGTCCCTTACAGCCAGGGATTAGTTCAGTCCAAGCTGCCCTGGATGCTGATCTTCTTTTCAGCAGCAGCAGCAAGCTGTCCGCATGTGACTCTTTGGCCACGCACTTCCATCTGCTACATAAGAGGAATACTTTTGTTTGTTCGTTACTTTTTTAAAAAATCTTATTGGCTATAAGGACCTCATCCAAATATGATTAATCTAAACAATTAAAAAATGAAATAGTAAAGGAGGTTCAACTCTTCCAAACAAGTCAAAATGGACAATATCATTAGATCCTAAAGGCTCAAAAGAGAATGGTATCAGAATGAGTCCAGGGCTAGTGCCCTTTGTGGGGAGGGCATTCCTTGCTGAAGGTGCCACTGCTAAGAAGACTGGTTCACCCACAGTGTAGTGGTCCCATTGGTAGGACACAAATGTGGTCCTCTTCCAGCACATGGCAGTCCTTGGGCAGCTTTGGCATTTCAGCTGAGACATCTGTGTCTCCTAGCTACATAAATCTACTTAAGGCTTCCATGCAAATGAAGCAGTGAATCCATTCTTGGCTGTAATCCTAACATGGAAGGTATTCAGCCCTATCTCCCAAACAGGTTAAGAATTGGGTTGTTTTGGGCTTTTCAGGCTGTGTGGCCATGTTCTAGAAGCATTCTCTCCTGATGTTTTACCTACATCTATGGCAGGCATCCTCAGAACTCACAACCTCTGAGGATGCCTGCCATTCATGTAGGTAAAACGTCTGGAGAGAATGCTTCTAGAACATGGCCATACAGTCTGAAAAACCTATAACAACCCTATAACGGCCATGAAAGCAAGGTTCAACATCTTTAAAGTTCAAACTAAAACCCAGCCTAGCTTTACCGCCCTCCTGACATGGGGGCCACCAGCCACCTCTGCACTCAGGCCAACTTACTTCGTTGTTTCCTGAAGTGGCTCTGTGGCTCCAACTGATTTTGTAAAATATAACTTGTTCTGCTCCTCTTTTATGATATATTTTTACATGAAAGCCCGAAGAACCCCACATAGAACTCTTTGTCATTCTTCCTTGATCTTCTAATAAATCATTTGTGACTATTTTTCTTGCAGCTCTCTTTAAGAACTTTTTTGTCAAGCTACTTTAATTTTGGCAGCTGCTTTTCTCATCTTTTTGCCTTCATTTCTTTAGTAGAAGATCAAAATATTGTTGATGGGAGGTATGGACATCAAGACAATTTCCCCCCTCAGTATCTACCATTATGATTGCAAAGCGTAGTCACCTGAAATTCATTTGCACATTACTGTACAGCATTTTAAATATAAATATAATTGTATGTGCTGCTCATGTTGGTATTTCTTTTCTGTCTTTAAAGGTATCCCTCTGTTCCCTCAAATATTTCACCTTATTCGGAATGTCCTTGATAGCACTTTAATACCTTAGTACAGTGTTTCTCAAACTCTGCTCCTCCAGGTGTTTTGGACTTCAGCTCCCAGAAATCCCAGCCAGCTTACCAGCTGTTAGGAATTGTAGGAGCTGAAATCCAAAACATCTGGAGGAACACAGTTTGAGAACCACCGCCTTAGTATATAAGTGGAATAATAAGGAGTTCATGGTCATTATGCCAGTTGAATATAAGGAATCAATTTCTTTCTCCATTGGTGTTATGGCTGGAAAACGGAAGAGTAACCTGGGACATGGAACATTGCTGTAATATTTTCCTGCATAACGTGGAAAAGGACTAGGTGGATAATTAAGTTATGGGAAAGACCTTGCATTGTGAAACATACATGTATCACATAGTGATGTCTCTGTGGCTACAATTTCTAATACTTCCCCTAAAAAACTCACTTTGCAAACAACATTGACCGCCCCATCCCATTTCATGCTGTTCAAAGGTTGGCCAATTAGCTAGGCTGCACCTGACTATTTTTCTGTAGTTGGATGGGGTGCATATGACAGGCTTGCTGTGCACCCAGCTACAGGAGTAGCTGACCATGTTTCAGCTTAACCCCTTGCTCTCCTACAACACAAAAATTGCCATATTTTTTTGGCAGAGGGTTGAACTGTGCTACTTGGGGATATTTTGGTCATTACATGGTCAGATTTGAATTTTGACCTCAGCAACATCCCAAATTATACTATCTGGTACAGGAAGTCCCCATCTTCCAAACATCTAACTTACATGCAACTCATAGTTAAGAATGGGGGTGAGACAATAGGAAGTGAGAGGAAATCTACCCCTCAGAATGGAAATTCACTCCTGCTGAAGCTTTCTCACCAATCCTTGTTTTCATGACAATCTGAAATTTTCAATATCCGATGAGCACAGGGACAGAAATTGAGGTGGAATCTTCTGAACAGGGGCACAATCAGCAAAAGAACCTTGACAGAGATGTTAACCCTTCTCAATGCCATCCAAAAACTTTTAAAAAGTGTTTGGATGGAGTTGCACTTAAAAACATGTACCTGTTCTGACTTACATACAAATTCAGCTTAAGAACAAACTACAGGACCCACTTTTTCATAACCCAGGGACTGCCTGTATTATATTTGTATTGTATTGCATTGTATTGTATTTCATGATTATATTTTATTTCTCACCTAACATTGTAATGTTGGAGCCTAACATTATAACGAAATTCAGAAAAGTGAAACCTAAACCCCTGATTGTGATGAAGATTAACTAGAAATAAACAAGCTTGTGTATTAAAACAGCATTCATTTTTCAAAATCATCTTTTTAACAGTAAATAAAGGATGTTTGGAAATACTCATTCTGAAGGTCTTCTCAAATAGTTACTGATGGCTTCTTGGCCAGAGAGGCCCAATTTGCTCCAGGTTTTAATCTAAACTTTAAGGAGCTACCTAAAGTGTCAAATCATATTCTCAAAATGAGTTCAGCACCTTGGATAGTTCCTTGAATGTCCAGGATACATGTTAAGAGACTGATTCACCACCTTGTTGACATGTCCCTGAGATTACTTTACCTAGAAATTCAAAATTCAGAAGTCAACTCCAATTTATGGTCACCTCACCATAAGGGGAGGTTTGATGTTATATTCCTCTTAGACCAGGCATGGGCAAACTTTGGCCATCCAGGTGTTTTGGACTTTCATAATTCCTAACAGCCAGTCTGGGATTTCTGGGAGTTAAAGTCCAAAACACCTGGAGGGCCAAAGTTTGCCCATGTTTGCCTGAGACTCAGACAATATGATCTACCCAAGGTGAGCAAGAGTTAAAATCCAAGTCTCCAGCTGTCAAAGCCCAGCATCATTCTAGCTTGTCCTTACATTGGGAAAGAAGAAAAAAACATGGTAGGGCCAAAGAGAACTTACTATTATTAACAAGACTATTGCTGCAAATGGCAATATAGAAGGAGGTAGTTAGGGTATGAGGACTTGATATAGTGACACAAAGGTTCCCCTTCAAGTTCTTCTTTTCTCTCAACAGTGTTCATATGTGGAAAAAAATGCACAGCCTTAATTATGCCTAGCAAAATGTATGGACCAAGGAACCCAAAGCACAATGCTAGAATAGACTCCCCTCTCCCCACCAAGAGAGAGAGAGAGAGAACAACTGTTACACATAATCATAGAATCATAGAATTATAAAATTGGAACAGATCTCGTTGGCCATCCAGTCTAACCCCCTGCCAAGAAGCAGGAAAATCGCATTCAAAGCACCCCCGGAAGATGGCCATCCAGCCTCTGATTAAAAGCCTCCAGAGAAGGAGCCTCCACCACACACCGGGGCAGAGAGTTCCACTGCTGAACAGCTCTCACAGTCAGGAAGTTCTTCCTAATGTTCACATGGGATCTCCTTTCTTGTAGTTTGAAGCCATTGTTCTGCACCTTAGTTTACATTTTACTCTCAATTTATGTCCATAGTGAGAAATCTGGAACTGTGTGATTCTTTGGGCTGCCTGAACAACCTTAATGTGCTGGTGTTTTTCTATTCATTCTAAAACCTTTCAAACTCTTTCTTTATGTGTTGTTTCTCCATTTCTCCCTCATGCTGCCTTCCTTCTCTCTCCTGCTAGTGTCAGTGGCATTGTCACCTGCAGAGGTAGGTCCTTTCCGTTTCTATTTGATTTTCTCAAAATGCCTTTTGAGTTTTATTCTGTGTTGATGTTTTTGTGTTCTCAATGCTAGTACCCAATATTCTCAATACCTAGGAGATGTCTGGCAATGTTTATTCCATCAACTTTAGCACAGGATTGCATAAACCGATTAAAATGTTGCTTTCAAATGATCTTTGGCAACTTCTGGCATGCAAGCTAGAAATGATCCAGTTGGGGGCAGTGGGGCTTCTCCTGCCAATTTCTTCCCAGGCTCCATTTCTGCCTTTCGGGGTAAGGAGTGTTATCTCAGGTTCACAGTTGATCAGGGATATGAGCAGGCTCTGCTCCTCTATGTTAATTTTTTAAAAGTCTTTATGGATGCCAATCAACTTTTTAACAAAAGTGCTGTGCAGAGAGTATTTTTGGAAGGATGTGGTTAGGCATGGAGGGATAATATTCCTAAGAATGCTGTGAGTCCCTCTTGAAAAGAATATCCCATGCTGCAAGAATTTTTTAAAATGCTCTGCTGGTGTATAGTAACAAAGGCCTTTTAAAAACCAAATTCTTGTACAGGGACATTTTGGAGTGTGGGACAGGGTGTCATGTATGTGGAAATTGTGTCCAGGTAAGTGAGCAAGTGAGACAGATGGTTTCTGGTCCTGTTCATGTGTGTGTGCTGGTGAGGGCAATATACCAGACTAGGGTGGTATTATCCACTGCTGATATAATGCCATGACATCCTTTCCTGGAGGGCAGTAAGAATCAAGAGTTTCCTCCAAAGTGTTCCTTACCCTTGCTTCAAAATTGAAACATATGAAAATGAACAAAATCTGGCTACCAATAAGAAAAAAAAACTTTAAAATCGGGGCAGTAAATAAAGAACAACACGCAAAACCAGGGGAATTCCAGACAGGGAACAATCAGTGGCAGCTAATCATCTCCCAACAAAGTATTCCCCCAGGCAGGAAGCAGCCAAGCTTTGAAGCTGCAAAGCTATTCAGTGCTAATCAAGGCGATCAGCTGCAACATTTACACTTGCCTCCAGCATTCAAGAGTTCTTTCTCCCACCCTGGACATTTCACATATAAATGCCACTTGCCTAGTCTCCAACAAACCTCACAACCTCTGAGGATGCCTGCCATAGATTTGGGTGAAACCTCAGGAGATAATGCTTCTGGCCATACAGCCCGGAAAACCCACAACAACCCAGAAACATATTTTGCAGGATAGTTATTGATCGGCAAAAACACTGTACAAAGTGAATCTAACTTAGGGCTGTGGCACATACTGAAATGCTGAAGGCACCATAAATTGGTCTGACCAAGTCCAAATCCATTTTCATTTCTGTTTCCTATACCCTTTATTCACAAGGCAATACAAGGATTGAAGTTGATTCAGATTTGGAAATATTGCAGTGTGTGGATTACATTCCTCTGATTTTTCCCTCTCAGTCACGATGACAGTTTGTATCCTATTTAGGTGTTATTCTACAAATTTGCATAGTCACATGCTTGTATATTGTTCTGTCTTTTTTTGGTCTCATTTAGCATCACAATCGTGCAGCTAAAAATATTTGGGGTATTTTTCCTGCTGCCATAGAAACTGAAAACACTGTCTTAGTCAGACAAGTAATTTGCAGAGCATGTCTGGTGCTCTTTCCTCCCCTCCTCCTTCCATAAGGGACAAAAGCCAAGCCGCTTTCTGCTCAGTTTACGTTGGCATATTGCCAAGCTGTGCATCAAACTGTCCACTGCTAAATGATGTGAGTTGTTCTCTTTTTATGCTCAAAGGAGAGTTGTTACTTGCTGCCTCTTCTCTCCATCTTTATTACAAAGCCATGGGTGCACATCATGGTAATGCAAATTTCTATAAAGTTGTATGCCTTAATCTCTTAGTTTATTGTTCTCCTTGTTTTCAGGTATATTTATTTTAAAAGTGAAAGTATATATTCTTGCACTCAGATGTTTCTGTAATTATTTAGGCAGGTTTAAATATTTTTATGACAAGTGAGCACACGTATAGAGAATAGAATAACAAAGAACACTGAACTTTTCTCTCCCTTTGCATACATAACATTTCTGCAGTGTTACAACAAGGGACATATTACAACAAACATTAACATAAAGGGAATAAATTTGAACAAAGGGCAAAATTGGGGAAATGGGGGAATGGAGGAGATAAAAAAGAAATTGTGGTATGTATCTATGTATTTTTGTTGTTTATTCGTTCAGTCATTTCTGGCTCTTTGCGACCACATGGACCAGCCCACACCAGAGCCGTGGTCACCCCCAGCTCTTTCTAAGTCAAGCCAGTCACTTCAAGGATACCATCTATCCATCTTGCCCTTGGTTGGCTCCTCTTCCTTTTTCCTTCCATTTTCCCCAGTATCATTATCTTCTTCAAGCTATCCTGTCTTCTCATTATGTGACCAAAGTATTTCATCTTTGCCTTTAATATCCTTCCCTCCAGTGAGCAGTCCGGCTTTATTTCCTGGAGTATGGACTTGTTTGTTGTTCCTTCAACACCACAGTTCAAAAGCATCTATCTTTCTTCGTTCAGCCTTCCTTATGGTTCAGCTCTCGCATCCATAGGTTACTATGGGGAATACCACTGCTACCTATCTATTTGAAATGCTGTTATTTATTAATTACCTTTCTAATTAAAATTAGTTAAATAATCTATGTATTTTAAATGCTGTTATTTGCCTATGTTTAATTAGAAAGGTAAATAATTAGGAATATCTAAAGTGCTTTCACATAATCCTCTACTGCAGCGGTTATCATCTGGGTCCCCAGATGTTTTGGCCTTCAGGTCCTAACAGCTGGTAAACTGGCTGGGATTTATGGGAGTTATAGAGTAAAACAGATGGGAACCCACATATTGAGAACCACTGCTCTATTTTAATTAAAACCTCAAACCAACATAATCTAGACTAAGGTCAGGGTTCAAGTCTCCACACAACCCTGGAAGCCCACCTTGGCCAAGTCACAGTCTCCCACCCTCAGAGGAAGGCAACAGCAAACCCTCTCTGAACATATCTTTCAAAAAAAAATTCCATGATACTGTAGCTTTGCCATAGGATTGCTCTAAGTTGGAAAAAAAACATGAAAGCATACAACAACAATTGTACCCTCAACCTTGCAAGGTAAATCAGCATTATACTCTATATTTGGGCTGTAAGAGAGGCAAACCAAGAGAGATTCCCTATAACACTGCTCATTCTTTACAAGCTGTTATTTACTAATAACTGCTCATTACGCAATAGAGCTTTTAGGACTTAGACCTAAAACACCAACATCAACTTTTAGTGTTTAGCCAACAATTGGGAACATATACAGCAATCATATGCAACACACAGAATTAAACGAAATTTAGGAAATTAGCCAACACTGAATGAATAGGTCTCACAGTTGAGCAGTAACGTTCTATGTTCCATATATGGCTGGCAGAGCAAAAAGAACCAATTTTTATAATTTGTCTTTTTTCCAAGAAATTTTACTTCTAGACTTCCCAGTCTTATTAAACAAATAATTATACTGCTGTGATCTACAAATGTAGTCTGACTGACCTTCCACATGATCTTTGGATATTGAGCATTTTGTGGGTCTATCCCAGTTAGGGATGTGAAAATCTGTCATGTTGAATTTGTTGAGCTTTCAGTACCAAACTGGGGCCCCTTCCACACAGCTATATAAAATTCAAATTGAACTGGATTATCTGGCAGTGTGGGCTCAGATAAACCAGTTCAAAGCAGATATTGTGAATTGTCTCCCTTGATATTCTGGGTTATCTGGCTGTGTAGAAGGGCTTTTATTTTACAAGGCTCTCTTAGGGCCCTTCCACACAGTCATATAACCCAGAATATCAAGGCAGAAAATCCCACAGTATCTGCTTTGAACTGGTGCCCCTTCCACACAGTCAAATAAAATCCCACATTTTCTCCTTTGAACTGCAATATATGGCAGTGTGGACTCAGATAATCCAGTGTACAAGAGTCCCTTGTTATCTGAGTCCTTGTTGCCATATAATTCCAATGCAAAACAGATTGTGTGGGATTTTATTTAGCTATTTGGAAGGGGCCTTAGGATCCTGAGTGTTTTCTGCCTTGATATTCTCTTATATAGGGCTGTGTGGGAGGGCTCTTACTTACCCTGTATGGAAATTTCTCTGTGCATTTCCCCCGGATGAAGACGTTTTCATTTGCCTTCTCTTGGTGACTGCAACCAGCTTGCATATATTTTGAAAAGCACGTGCATGCCTTTTTCTGTGCACATCTTTCAAAGAATCATTCTAAAACACATTTGTGCATGATTTTTCAATTACACTGAGAAGGAGAGGCTACTCTTTCCTTCCCTTAAACTGCAGTCAACCTCCACTCCTTAAAAAACATTGCCTCCTCTTGAAACAGTAAGTACAGTCAATGAGAGTGGGTTTGGGTGCCACTGAATTTTTAATGTTTAATCAGAAATTGTTTCCTTGACTCCCTTCTTTCTGCCCAAAAGTCAGCATAAGATTTGGAGGCCATATCCCTGAGCTAATAAAATAAACTACCTTGTTCTTTTTTTTTGTATGGTTTTTATTAAACTTTTTGCACATCAACACAAAGAAAGAGGGAGAACAATAACAAAGAAGATAGAAAAGTAGGAAACCCACATACCCTCCCCAAAAAGAAAAAAGAGAGAAAAAAAAGGGGGCCAAAACACAAAAAGGGGCCCAAAACAAAAAAAAAACCTAAACTATTCTAAAATGACTTCCACTCCAGTCTCAGGATCTTCTCTCATTTCTTCTAAAACTCATTTATATTTTCTTAGCCTCTAGTATCTTTCTATATTTTCTTCTCATAGTCATAGAAAAAGGTCCAGTCTGTCCTCTTTAACGGTTTTCCAGTGTTTTTCCTCAACAAAAAAGTTAATTCGTCCATATCTCTTATTTCTATAACCTTTTCCCTCCATTCGTCAATAATCGGAATCTGTTCATTTTTCCAATGTTTGGCAAAAATAATCCTTGCTGCTGTGGTAAAATACGTAAATAATTTGTCTTCATTCTCATCCAATTTTAAATCTGAATCCATAAAACCTAATAAATAATACTCCGGCTTCTTTTTGAACTTTCTCTTAAATATCTTTTGAAATTCTTCATGTATCAATGACCAAAACTTAGATGTTTCTTTACATGTCCACCACATGTGGTAAAATGTACCTGATTGTTCACCGCACTTCCAACATTTATCTGAAACATTTTTGTACATATGGCTTAATTTGTTTGGGGTCAGATACCATCTAAAAAACATTTTATACCAATTTTCCTTCAAGTCCATCGCATAAGTGTATCTCAACTTTTTATTCCATATTTGTTCCCATTCTCTAAATTGGATGGGCCTTCTCAAATTTTCTGCCCATTTAATCATACATGTTTTCACCTGTTCAGTTTCCGTAAGCCATTGTGCCAGTTTATTATAGAGTATTGTTACTACTTTCTTTCCAGTTTTTAGTATTTTGTCCCATGTGTTTTCTTCCCAGTCAAAACCAGTTTTTTTATCTTCTTTAAAATATTCTTTAATTTGTATATAATGTAACCAGGTTATATTGCCAAAAGAACTCTTAAGTTGTTCAAAAGGTTTAATCTCCTCTTTCCCTTTAATCAGGATATCTTTATATCTCGGCCATGCCCTCCACCCTAACAATCTCCTTTGGTGGGCCTCCATTGCCGAGACCCATAATGGTGTAGTTTTGTAAAAGAAGGCTTTATATCTCAACCATGTCCTTAGTAGGGAGGCTCGCACAAAATGATTTCCAAAGTTTTTTTCTTTAGTTTCTCTATTGTACCAAACATACGCATGCCAGCCTACTCTCAAATCGTGGCCTTCTAAATTTAGACATTTTTCCTTATCTAAAGTCATCCAATCTCTTATCCATGACAGGGCGCATGCCTCGTGATATGTTTTAAAATCAGGAAGTCCCAGACCTCCTCTTGTTTTTTTGTCAATTAAATTTGTATAATTTATTCTTGGTCTTTTCCCTTTCCAAATGAATTTTAATATATCTTTCTTCCATTTTTTAAACAGGGTCTGATTTCTTATTACCGGTATATTTTGAAACAGAAATATAAGTTTTGGTAAAACATTCATTTTTATTAGTGATATTCGACCCAGAAGTGACAGGTTTAAGTAACTCCATTTTTGTAAATCTTTCTGAATTTCCTTCCAAACAGTTTCGTAATTATTTTTCAAAAGTTGACCATTTCTCGCTGTGATCCAGACTCCTAGATATTTAATTTTTTTCACAATCTCTATCCCCAGTTGTTCTTGAATCTTTCTTTGTTTCTCCTTTTCCACATTTTTGAATAAAAGTTTCGTTTTCTTCATATTCATTTTGAAACCGGCCACTCTCCCAAACTCCTCTATTTTTATTAGCCAGTTATGTAGATTTTTACCAGGATCCTCAATTGTTCCTAACAAATCATCTGCAAACGCCCGTATTTTATATTCAAATTTGCCAATTTTCACTCCTTTAATATTCTCATCTTCTCTAATTTTCTTCATTAGGATCTCAACTGCCATTATAAAAATCAATGGGGACAGTGGGCATCCTTGTCTAGTGCCCTTTGAAATCTCGAATTCTTGCGTCATTTGTCCATTTATTTTCACTTTGGCTTTTTGATAATTATAAATTGCATTAATTGCATTATTGAATTTTTCTCCCATGTCCAATTCTTGTATTAATATCTTAAAGAAATCCCAATTTAAATTATCAAACGCTTTCTCAGCGTCTATTGATAAAATTGCAAATTCTTTTTGATGGTTCATCTCATAATATTCCAGAAGGTCTAGGACGTTACGGATGTTTTCTTTCAAATATCTATTTGGTAAGAATCCTGTTTGCTCTTCTCCAATCCATTCACTTAAAAATACTTTTAATCTTGTGGCCATATAAACTACCTTGTTCTTAATAAGATATGGATATTGTTTATCTCTGCTTCCCCATGTCCCCATTTCTGTAGAAGTGTCTTGGCTCAGGAACAGGGAGGTAGCATCATAGCTCTTAATATTTATAGGAATTTTCATCTAAAGTTGGAAACCACCATTACAAAATCATACAAAACATCAGTATCCTGCCCGTAGTATTACACCAAAGCATGTACTATATAAAAACACTAGATGCTTGCCAAAATTTCATGGCTTAGGGAAGGTCTAAAGATCTAAAGACATTGATGTTCTGCTGTGCCTTTAATTAGACAATTCCCTAGACAGCTGACCCCAGCGAAGACCCAAAATCTCTCCTCACACTTTACTATTGCTCTGTACCCAAAGCTATAATGATTTATTTTACACTGCTGTATTTTTACTACTGTCATATGATCTATGCACTGTAGTTACCAGCCCTATTCTTTGAATTGTTGTTGCACCAGTCTGACTACCCATTACGAGAAATGAATTACATTTTGGTTGCAATGTTGTTAGGTTCTTGTGGGTTTTTTCGGGCTATAGGGCCATGTTCTAGAGGCATTTCTCCTGACGTTTCGCCTGCATCTATGGCAAGCATCCTCAGAGGTAGTGAGGTCTGTTGGAATTAGGACAATGGGTTTATATATCTGTGGAATGGCTGGGGTGGGGCAAAGAGCTCTTCTCTGCTGGAACTAGGTGTGAATGTTTCAACTGACCACCTTCATTAGCATTTGAAGGCCTGGCTGAGCCTGGGAAAATCTTTTGTTGAGAGGTGTTAAGATGTGCCTTGTTGTTTCCTCTCTGCTGTTTTGCTGTTTGCTGGCCCTATAGCCCGAAAAAAACCCACAAGAACCTAGTGATTCCAGCCATGAAAGCCTTCGACAATACATTGTAATGTTGTTGTTGTATTTCGTATTGTATTTTACTGTGTTATGTTTTTAACTGTGTTGATCGGGCTTGGCCCCATGTAAGCCGCCCCGAGTCCCTTCAGGAAGATGGAGGCTATAACATTTACATTTAAGCAGTCTTTGAAATAAATGGATCAAAAATACTTTTCAAAGCCAGTTTCAAAATAGTAAGGATATGGCATGCATCATGGAGCAGATTAGCATAAAGGGGAGGGAGATATAATTTAACACCCATTTGTTACGTGTGATGCCAAATCAGTGGTTTCTTTTGCATCTGATTAGGATGACAGATTGGAGCACTGGCACAGTAAAGCCTGCAAATGTGATTGCCAGGGAAGTCCCAACTCAGTCTGGTCCACCGGAGCAAACAATCTGGAATGTATGCCAGGTAAGGCCTCTGTTTATTTATCTGTGCAGATGTCTTCGTTTTGCCCACCACACATTTCTGGCAACTTCACAGGGTTTTCTTAGGCAAGGAATATTCAGAAGTGATTTGCTATAGCATTCTGCAGAAACATAGCTTACATTACCTACTATATTCCTTAGTGGTCCGTCATCCAAGTATTAACCAGATCTCAGGCCCTTCCAGACAGGCCCTTTATCTCAGGATCTGATCCCAGGTTTTCTGTTTATCTTAGATTATCTGACAGTGGGCAATTGTATAATCCAGTTTAAAGCAAGAAAACCTGGGATCAGATCCTGGGTTGATAGGGCCTGTCCAGAAGGGTGCTCACTCTTCCTAGCTTCCAAAATTAGGGTGGTTCCAGACAACCCTTTATCCCAGGATCATTTGCGTTTTAAAAACACAGATGTTCCTGGGGTCCTGTCTACACCCACCCCAGAAAGCGCGTGCTTTCTGGGGTGGTGTCCAGATGTTTTGCTGGGACTAGCCTAGCAGAACATCTGAGGACCCTCCTCCCTCTGCCAAAGCCCCCAATCCTTTTGAAAAGTAAAGAAAACTTACCAGGCCTTCAGTACACTCTTGCAGCACCTCTCCTGGTGTGTAGAAATGATGCGCCAGAAGAGTGGGGGGATGGGGGAGGAAAATCACTCCTCCCCCCCCCCCCCGCTCTTTTGGCACATCATTTCTACATGTCAGGAGAGGTGCTGCAAGAATGTGTTGGAGGCCGTGTAAGTTTTCTTTACTTTTCAAAGGGCTTTGGGAGCTTTGGGGGAGGGGTGAGTATTACCACAGATTTCCGGACTAATTTAGTCTGGAAAACTGTGGAAATGATGTCTGGGCTGCAGTCCAGACATCGGAAATAGTGGGTTTATCCCTTGCTTTTAAAGAAGGTGCGGAATAAATCCACTATCTAATTAATTTGCCACAAATTAGGGTTTTCCTGTTTTGTAGCGAATTAATTCATGATTGTTCGGGGTGTCATCTGGACAGCCCCTTCTTTATTGTGGGGGTTACCACAATAAAGAGGTTGTCTGGATGCACCCTTAGATTACTTTCAGGATCTTTATTTAATGGGGCTTATTAAATAGGGTGCACAAAGGGCCTGAAGCGGGATATACATATCTGATTCAAAAAGACCTCTTTAAATCCCACCGAATCAAAGCGCTAAATCAGAAACTCAGGCAGATGGGCCTCTCAGAGAATACATTGAGCGGTTTTGAGCATAAAAAGTTAATGCAGATCTTAGCGGAACGGATCAGTGACATAGACAAACAGGACTCAATGACTCTGGCGCGCTCCACATGCTCTCCATTGAGTTTAGGCCTAACATTTAATTCTTTGGGAGGTGCCAAATACTTAGAAAATTTAAACATCCCAAAATTTCGCCTTGCTTTCAGTTGGGCCAGATTCAATGCCCTCAAATCAGCCATACTAGAGGGCAGATACAAAGGGACTGATTACGAACACAGAGTTTGCCCATGCGGGGAGGGTAAAATTGAAACTGTAACACATGTACTTTTTATTTGCACAATTTACAAGGATGATAGACTAAGGTTAATATCCTCTCTACTCACCAAGTGGCCAGGGAGATCCCTAAGTTGGTACTGCACTTATTTACTGTCTGATCTTGACAAAAGGGTAACGGAACAGGTGGCCAAATTTCTGTTTGCAGCGGCAAAAAGCCGCAAGTGCTTCATGAATAACCTGTAAAGGTTGAGTGTAACAAAGAGTACTCGGGAGACTTATTATTAACTTGCAATCAGTTTCTGTTTTAGGTTATATAGACAGCCATTCATCCGATAGCGAATGGTGATACTTGTTTTTATTAATTATAAGCCAAATGTGATGTTATTAATTGTAAATTGTTGTATTTCATCATTCTACTTTCACTTGACTTAGCCGATGGTTTGTTGACCGAAATAAAGGCTACTGACTGACTGACTGACTATTTAATGGGGCTTATAGCCAAACTCATTCATCCCAAGGGACTCAGGACAAAGAAATTTTATCTTCCACTTCAAAGCAAATTAGAATCACCTGACACTACTATTTGCAAACTACTTCCTATATTAAATGTTGTAGGACTATTGCTTTTAAATATTAACTATATATTTTCTTGCCATTTGCAAAATAAAAACCAAATACTAGCACAAGTCACGAAAGGGTTTCACCTTTAAATGTCAGGAGATTCTGACTATGGAGGAAAGACATGTTGTTGGCCAAGTTTAACTAGAAAAACCATTTAATGCATAACACATGCATATATTTTAAGGTCACTGATGATAGCATTAAATAATTTAACTGACTTGGTCTGACAATTCTCAGACATCTGCTTGGTGATTCCTTTCCCCACAAGAGTTTTCTAGAACAGAACAGAAGAACAGAAGGTTACCTCCTAAGTATATTAGGACTGTGTTATCTAAAGATTAGTGTTGCTAAAAATAAAACATGTATTTCTTGTAAACATCTCAGCCTGGAACATTGGAGGTGATTCTGTTCATTTTTACTCGTTATCCTTTTAATGAGTAAAATCCTTTTACTTTTACACATTATTCTTGTAATTTCTATTATGTGGAACGTTTCAAAACATGTCTTCACCAAAGAAAATCCTAACGGTTGTATACATTGCATTCAAAATGGATGGCAGAAGCTCAGTGTGAGAGCAGCCCAAAGTTTGCGGAAAAGTACCATTTGGACTGCAATTCCCAGAATCCCCCAAAGAAACTTTCTAAAAAATCTTTTGAATATTTCAGGTGTTTAATAGAGTGAAATGTCCACACTTTCTAATGGAGACATGCCAAAAATGGGTCCGTGTAAGTAGTTAAAGTTTACCGGCCCCCCCCCCTGCCAGAATCTGCAGACATATTGGTTTTTATCAGGAGTTTTGGAAACCCTGCCCTGTAATCCAAGATTGGGAATCACTGTAGATAAGTTCAGAAAGCTCAGTCCTTATCTTACTCTATTAAAAAACATAAAACCATGACATTTTTTTCTCTCTTTTAGAATGTCCCTATCACAAGCCACTTGGTTTTGAATCAGGAGAAGTTAATTCTGATCAGATAAGTTGCTCCAATCCTGAGCAATACACTGGATGGTATACTTCATGGATTGCAAGCAAGGCTCGGCTTAATGGCCAAGGCTTTGGGTAAGCTGTATGATATCCTAGCACTGGAAGAAGACTTTGTCAACAATACTAAACCAAGAAGCAGAACTTGGAAAAGTTACCCCTTCTGAACATAAACTTCCAGGTTCTGAAAATTGTCCAAAAAGTAACTTTTTTCCAAAAGTAACTTGTCCAGAAGATATATAAAGCAATTCTTTTGGGTTGAAAATGTCTTCTCCACCTCTCCTTCTAAAACTTTACTGTGCTCAGGCACATTTTAGGTGGTGATCTTTAAGATTTGTGTTTTTTTCTCTCAGTGTTATAGTTTTTCCACTTGCTCTCCTTATACTTTTCCTTAATGACACCTAGATTGACACATATTATACATTTATCAAGCACTGCAAAATACAAAGCCAAGGGAAAAGTCATTAAACATGTCTGAATGATTTTTTTGTCTGGTCCTGCCAAATTGTCCAAGACAGATTGAACTATGCTGTCTGAGGCCAGATTTGGGGAACATTTTGTACCCCAGCTCTCACTGTCTTTACTCCAGCCAATGTAGCCAATAGTATGGAACTGCATTCCAGCAATATCTAGAAGTCCATAGGTTTCCCACTCATATCCTAGATTGAATAGTTATGCTTGGGAAGCTCATATATTCATACCAGGAAAGCGTACTTGATATAGACTTGTCCCTGATATTCCATGACTCTTCCCTGTAACTGTTAAGGTGTGCCTGGCTCTCCAAATACCAAGACACTAACCAATGGCTACAGATTGACCTGAAGGAAGTCAAAGTTATCTCAGGGATACTCACCCAAGGACGCTGTGATGCTGATGAATGGATGACAAAATACAGTGTACAATATAGAACTGATGAGAACCTGAACTGGATTTATTACAAGGACCAAACAGGAAATAACAGGGTAAGCAGAAGCCATTTTTTAAAAAGATGTGGCCATATTTCCATGTTGTGTGCAAAATATTGTAAAGAGAAACATCATTATTAAAGCTAAAATTCTAGTGTCCATTAACTTAATCCTATTTGAGACCACAGTCACCATGGCATTTTATTAAAGTACTGACAAGGAATAGAAATACATGAAAACATTCTTTTATTTGTTTAAAAAAATTGGAAACTTCTCCGAAGGGTGACACAAAATAATTGAGCAAATAAAACAATTCTGTAGATGTGTCACTTATGTGGATGCATATTTGCTTCTGTCTGTATATCATAATGTTCATATAGGCTCCCATTGAACTGGCCTTGTGTAACTTTTGGTGGACATGAGGATGTGGGTTCTTATTTAAAGACACCACCTTGTTTCCTTTCTGTTTTTCGAATCCATGGACGGGGTGAGCTCCCGTTGTTAGCCCCAGCTTCTGCCAACCTAGCAGTTCAAAAACATGCAAATCTGAGTAGATCAATAGGTACCACTCCGGCAGGAAGGTAACGGCACTCCACACAGTCATGCCGGCCACATGACCTTGGAGGCATGTACGGACTACACCAGCTCTTCGACTTAGAAATGGAAATAAGCACCACCACCCAGAGTTGGATACAACTAGACTTAATGTCAAGGGGAAATCTTTACATTTACATTTACTTTATTATTTACTGTATTTATATACCGCCTTTCTCACCCCTGGGGGGACTCAAGGCGGTTTACAACATAGTAATGGCAAAAATTAAATGCCAACATACAGTACAACAAAGCAATCATAATCACTAATCACTACATATAAATATGTCTTAAATCATTGAAACCATTAAACACAAGACATAAACAAAACTTTACTTTGAATGGACCTTGGAACTAACTGGCTTCAAATAACATGATATTGTTATGCATTCTGGTTTCTAGTAATAAATGTTTCCTTTATTATTGTAACTGAAGGAAAGATAACTTCCTCCCTGTGGCAATGTAATGAGCTAGCTGCTGTTCTTTATATCACTGCTGTTTTGTGGACATTGAAGTGATTAGGAGGTAGACAGTAAGGCAGCGTGCTTTGGTTTGAGAATTGCAAAGATGCCAAATATTGTATTTACTTTTTAAAAAACTATAGTGGTAACTTGATTAATTACCAACAGAGGCCTCTAACTGTTTGAAATTATAATTTGAAGTTTATTTAGCCAAAATTGACCCATTTTATTTATTATTATTTATTACTGCGCTTGTATACTGCCGTTTCTCAGCCTACATTGGCGACTCAACGCGGTTTACAACATTACAATAATCAACAATATTCAAGATAAAAAGCATAAAAAAAGCATAAAAACACATACATAATATACAATATTGGGCCACCAATATCGAACCAATGCATCTCTTAGTTAAAAACGCAGTCCAATTTCATCGTCTGTGATTACCAGTCCTTGATCGTCAGATTCATTGTACCGTGTTAACCGAATGCTTGTTCGAACATCCATGTCTTCAGTCTTTTTCGAAACGCCACCAGCGAGGGGGCTGATCTTACCTCTATGGGGAGGGCGTTCCAAAGCCGAGGGGCTACCACAGAAAAGGCCCTGTCTCTCGTCCCCGCCAGCCGCACCTGTGAAGCAGGCGGGATAGAGAGCAGGGCCTCCCCAGAAGATCTTAGGGTCCTGGTGGGCTGATAGGCCGAGATACGTTCGGATAGATAAGTTGGGCCAAACTTTCTTCATCACTTTCTTCAGTGTATAGCAGCTTAACAAGTCATACAATCTTCTACCAAAACACATTAAGGTATGCAAAATGTAGTTCATAAGGATAGAAAGTTCACATTGCACTGGTTTCACATTCTCACACAAAATGTGCATTCAATTTTCATGAAAAGAACTAGCAAAAAGACCACAACATTTCCATTGTAAATATTTTTACACTAGAATATGGTAACAGTCAAAATATGTGTTGTCGAAGATTTTCATGGCCGGAATCACTGGGTTGCTGTGAGCTTTCCAGGCTGTATGGCCATGTTCCAGAAGCATTTTCTCCTGACAAAACATTCTCCTGGGGGGATGCTTCTAGAACATGGCCACACAGCCCAGAAAACTCACAGCAACCTGGTCAAAATATGGTGTTTGTGTCAGTGTATGCTTCATATTCCACACAATCCATATTGCATAGAAGGATAGGTTCTCAAAAATCATAATATGATTTATTTATGAAAGGAAAGATGTATTCCCCTAAATAAAATGTAGTGACATGCACCACATAATTGAGAAAAAAGTGGTTGTAAGTATATAAACCAGCAGTACAACTTGAGCACCCCTTATTCCAAAATCTGAACTCATACAAAATCTGAAATAGTCCACATGGGTGGCTGAGATAATGACACCTTTGGTTTCTGATAGTTCAGTGTATACAAACTTTTAAATAAATTTGCCTTCAAGCTATGTGTATAAGGTATATATGAAGCTTAAATGAATTTCATATTTAGACTTGGATCCCATCTCCAAGCTCTTTCATAGCTTGGAAAATAACAAAATGGTGTCTGTTAGACATTTGCTTCCGTTTTACTGAATGACAGATTAAAAGATGGTTAAGACCACTTTCATGGGCTTCTTTTAAGATGACTTTGCTTTTTTTCTCTCCACAACTGCAGGTTTTCTATGGAAATTCAGACAGGACATCTTCAGTGCAGAACCTCCTGCGCCCTCCCATTGTCTCTCGCTACATCCGCTTAATACCACTTGGTTGGCACGTGCGCATTGCCATCAGGATGGAACTGCTGGAGTGCATGAACAAGTGTGCTTGATGCTGAAATTCAGCTCAAGGGAAAACTCAGGAGTTAGTAGCAAGATAGAGAAGTACAATGAATGCAAAGAGTAGGTCCTTCATGTATGTAGAATAAGATCTCAATGTACTGTGAAAAGGATAAGTGTTCTCCAATGACCTTCTGTTGTGAAGTGTATCCTCCTGCAAGTTTGCTAGTTTTAAAGGAATTCTGTTTCAATAATACACATACCCCCATCAACAGCAAGAACAATGCAAGATGACATGGAATTATAGTACATTTTGGAACCCACACTCCACCCTGTGTTAATTTCCTGCCGACGCCTTTCATTTCATCTCATTATTTTATTTGGCAAAGTTGTCTTTCCCAGGATTTGATGCAAAGGGATTGAATGATTTAATAAGAGGGAGGAGAGAATTTTTATTCCAATAAAATAAAATAAAAATTATTTCACCCATCACTCTTTTCTGAACATTGTCTTAGGCAACTATGTCTCTGAAGTGTAAAGGCAACGTGTGATGAGAATTGCTTTCTCCAGTGACAATCTGATACCCCACCAAAACGATATACAAAACCATAGAGAATAAGCATTCTCATTTCAACGTGCTTTAAATTGGAAAGAAGCAAATTTGGGTGGGCCAGGGAACATTTTCATGGCCAAGACACCTCTGCAGCCTCACCAACAGTTCTTCTGAAACTGGAAGTGATTTCATATTATTTCCTATTCTTTTGTCAATTAATTGTAAGCTGATTTTGGTTTGGGAACTGGGGGGGGGGGGTGTGGAAGTGATATTTTAAAGTTCTGTGGATCTGAGAAAAAAGTTACAATGTCTTGCACTGTTTTTTAAACCTACTTTTAACCGTGGCAAATGTATACCCATTTTAAAAAAAGATCTTGGGGGTTCTGAGACTGTAAAATGGCACCCTAACAACTTCCCAGCCCATCCAGCTTTATCCTCTTATGAAATGCAGTTGTGTTACCCCTTTTTTCATGGAAAGATTTGTGTGTCCTATTTTGATGCTAGAGATGAGAACATTATCAGTATGAATGGATGCCTCAACTTTATCTTTTTAGATTCAAGGGTAAAACAACCTGTGACTCACTTGTGTCAATATTTTCCCAGTCTTTGTTTTGTTTTTTATTACCTAACACAGCAGTGGGATTGTGCCCTGTCTCTTGTCTTCCTCTGACCACTTTTTGTAATGAAAGCTTTGTGTGTCACTAGAGTTTGCTTCTATTCTATTTTGATGCCAGAAATGGGAACATTATTTATCTTATTGAATGTGTCAACACCATATGTTTAGGATGAAACTACATGTGACTCACCTGTCTCAATATTTGTTTTTTTTAAATTTCCCCATTCTTTGTTTTGTTGTGTTGTAATTACTCAAAGCAGAGGTGGGGATTTGCCCTATTTCGCCTTCTCCTCTGACCATGTTCTTATTACCAAAATGGTCCATGGAAGCTGCTTTTCACCTTTTGAGGGAAAAGCTACAAATGAAGACGTCACAATAGATATAATATTGTCCTGACTGCCAGAGTGGTATCGCTTTTAATTTGTGATGGCCAAACAAAGAACCTTCAGGCCTCATTATAATTAGTACTTATATAAATAGGAGCCATGGTGGCGCAATGGGTTAAATCCTTGTGCTGGCTGTATGACTGACCTGAAGATCTAAAGGTCGGCAGTTCGAATCTGTGAGATGGGGTGAGCTCCCGTCTGTCAGCCCCACCTGCCCATGCAGGGACATGAGATAAGTCTTCCACAGGTTGGTAACACATCTGGGCTTCCCTTGGGCAACATCTTTGTAGATGGCCGATTCTTTCACATCAAAAGGGACTTGCAGTAGATTCTTGATTTGCTTCTGACATGATAAAAAAATATATTAATAAGTTTAGTCATCTATAAATCAACAAAAAACTAATTTTTATATAGTATTATCTTATGATATAAAACAGACAAAAACATTTTGGGAGCCTATTTTTGTCCTGCAGATTGACATGCTGTATAGACGCTGGGGGAACGAGAAGTCGCAAATGCAATGATTTCTTTACATCTATAAAGGGTATGAGAAGATGTCAGAGAATGGCTTGATCATCATAGTTTTAGTCTTTTATAGCAAGATTGGGCTTTCAAATTCTTAACATTTGCAACATCAAACCTGTCAAAAAGGTGCTAGATGTTAAAACATTACTTTTCTGTTTTTCATTCTTCCAAAACCGTTACAGTAAATCATAAATTACAGACACAATTTCAATACCATACAACTGAACCACCTCGTATAGATAATCTTAAGTGGTGCTAGGATATTATGACCTCTCTTTTTTTAAAATAGTTTTACAGGCATTTTATAAATCAAAGACTTAGAAATCATAGTTTGTGTTTACTATTATACATTTTGTTGTTGTAAAAGTAACTTTGTAGAAAATAGTGTACTTTGTGGGGAACTGAATGTAATGCAAAGACACAGATGTCTTCGTTATATAGGTATGTGTGTTAATCGTAGATTATCCATCTTTTAAATGTAAAGGCTTTTGATTTAAAAACTACTCTTGGAAATAAAAGCCAGAAATATTTTGAAGATTTATGGAGTTTTCTTTTTTCTTGCTGTCTGGTCATTTGCTCAGTCCCCAGTATGGCTAGACCCCAACAGAGTTAAGCGGGTTTAATCCCATTTATTTCTGTATTGGGTTGGCGACTAGAGCTTTCATTAATTTTAAAAATGCCCGTCTGTGTGAACAGTATATAATTACCTGTTCTGAGTTGATTCAAAACATTATTAATGAGTGTTGTTATGGATTCATGTGTATGCCAACCCACCCACTTGGCATCTCTTTTCTCTACTTGGCTCTGGCGATCCTGGTTGCCTTGCGTGATTGCATGATTGGGATCCATGCAGCAGTTAATATTGCTGCATTAATAACAGAGTTTATACAGAGTTGTCTCATAGGGTTTTTAGTGGGGTTTCACTTCCCCTGCGGAGACAAGTTGGAGAGAGTTTGAGGCTTAATTGTTTTGGGGTGAACAATTAAGCCTAAAGCTACAAGGAGGTATTGACCTCCAATACGAATTCGGCCACTTCAAATGGAGTTTACCTTCACTCCTCCAAAAGTAGCATTGCTGAGAGTGAGATACTGAAAATTGGGTTGCTGTGTGTTTTCCGGGCTGCATGGTCACGTTCCAGAAGCATACTCTCCTGACGTTTCACCCACATCTATGGCAGACATCCTCAGAGGTTGTGAGGTCACCACTTCTGAGTTTGCCTGCTATAAATGTGGGTGAAATGTCAGGAGAGAATGCTTCTGGAACATGGCCATACAGCCCGGAAAACTCACAGCAACCCAGTGATTCTGGCCATGAAAGCCTTCGACAACATACTGAAAATTGTTCATACCTAGTGCTTTTATGTCGGCTGTGTTTACATTCTGTTGTCTTATCTTTGGAAGTCTAAACTGCATTTCTAAAGGTTCAACTTAAGTTTTAAGTTATTTCAATGCTAGACATTTGGGGATTGAATTAATATTTCAGTGGTGGGGTAGATTTCTTATCTGGCAGGATATTGTCTTAATACTCCACCCAACCCAGCATACAATGTGGTATCCTTGGTATCCTTTGGATTTTGTTACTGGACCCTGCCATGGATACCAAAATTCATGGATAATCAAGTCCCATTATATACAGTGGTGCAGTAAATGGTGTCCCTTATATAAAATGGCAATATCAAGGTTTGCTTTTTGGGTGTTTTAACAAATATTTTCCAGCCATGTATGGTTGAATCTGTGGATAGAGTATCAGTGGATATGGAGGGCTTTCTGTACCTAGTTCATTGTGCCTGAAGACACAAATCCACCTATTTTATATAATCAGAGCAGAACTGGGTTAATTACTATGGACATGCTGATGGAATTCAGACCTGATTAAACCTCTGTCTTCCCATTTTTAAGCTGCTTTTAAAATGTTCCACTTTCTCTGTCCTCCTCAAGTTTTCTCCCATGTCCTCAATTTACTTTCATTGGTACAAACCAAGTGCAAAGTTCAAGAGTCATTTGTGCTCAATGAACTCAGCAAGGAGTGGGGAAAGGCATGAGATGATATAATAATAATAATAATAATAATAATAATAATAATAATAATAATAATCCAGCATATATATCTCATTTGCTGTGTCATACTGTGTTTTTGTGTCAGTATAATAATGATAATAATACAGTTTATTTATATTCAGCTCTATCTCCCAGAGGGGGCTCAGAGCAGATTACAGTGTGTGAGTGTATGTGTGTGTATACACACACACACATACACATACATACTGTATATATTTGATGCATTTTATACCGTGAACAATTTCATACAATATACAAACAAAGGCAAAGATGTCCTTTTCCATCTCTGGTGTTTGGAGGCGATGCTCAACTCTGGCCATGGGGAGGTGCTCTTGTTCCATTTTTCCATGCTGAGGAATCTGTTATTCATAGACCCTCCAGGTCATGTTGCTGGCATGGCTGCATGGGCGCCTTTCACCTTCCCACCGAGATGGTACCTATTGATCTACTCACATTGCATGTTTTCAAACTGCTAGATTGACAGAAGCTGCAGCAAGTTGTCAGCAAGTTTTTCTGCAGCTAGAGGTTTAACCTACTGTGCTACTGCAGCCCCTAAGGTAACACAATCTTGCCCTTCCGAAGAGGTTTTAGGAAAAGCAAATTGCAGTGGCCTTTCCTTGCTGGAGGCTCTTTCTCATTAATAACCTTTGTTATATTGACTATACCCTGATGTTGCTTGGCCTTACATGTTGAATTTTAACTTATTAACTGTATCCCAACGTTTGGATTTCCTGCGCAACAATCCCCCAAAGCACCACATTTTTAATCTTTGGGATTATTCCTTGCTTATATAAGACTGCTTTGTGCATCATGCATGTTAAAACAGCCAGAAAATCTGCACTGTTTTCAGTTTTTAATGGTTGTGGTTGAAACGATCTGAAGGCTGGGCTCTCTGGCACTACAGGTCATGAATAATGTATTTAATTCATGGATTGGAAATGCACTAATTGTTTAAGCTCCAATTGCTATAGTTTCTTTCAATATGTATAACCTGACTCCACTGAATGTTCGCATGCCAGTCATAGCATCTTATATTGCATTGGGTGCTTGAACTCCTTCATATTCCTTTCCATACCTAGACACTTTATTACATTAGCAAAAGTCTATTACTTTTACTATAAAGATGTGGCCTTGTGAATTGCCTCAAACCTCAGTTTAGGATTAATGTTATGGTGTTATGAACAATGATAGTTTGGGTTAAATGTTTATTTTTCTCTAGAAGTTAAGATTGCTTTCTGTTCTCCTCTATTGCATTATAATTCTGACAGCCTTATAGTAACCTTTTCTCATAGAATACTGCAAGTAACTGGAACTTGGCTGAATTCAAACAAGACTTCAGCCTTTTACATGTGTGTATGTATAGTTTACAATTTCATGTGGATAGTGTCGCACTGGAAACTGGGCTCATCCCTTGGCCACTTTTCAACACTCTTCTTAACACAGATTTCTAAAATTCAAAGAGTTTTCTGGGGTATTCAAAGCCACAAACACCCCCAAATAATGATTGATTTTTTCAAAATGCTCAATACATTCCATATATCCTTTAGGGAATTAATTATTTCACTCTATATTTGCGTGCATGTTAGACTTACAAAATGCCCTTTTCTAACAAGTTAATCAAACATATCATTTATTCACTGGATAGAAAAAGAGCTACTCTAATCTTAATATGCCTTGCAAGGATTATACAGAAATTACTTCTCATGTTGCCTAGGCATTTTGAGCAAAAATTATCTATCATTTTATTCAGAGGGTGTGGCAATGTGCTGTATCTCCCCCAGCTTTCCACAGGAGGAAGCAACATGTTCACAGCCCTACTCTAATTTATAGATATAGAAGCATATTTCATATCTTTCCAATAGCAAGACCCACTAGAATAAAACTACAGTACATATTGCAATATACATTGGGTTCTAGATTGGGAGAAAGGAGGGATATACATTAAAGAAATAAATAAACCATGTAACCAAAGGGAATTTAGAAATTCAACATTGATTAATGTTCCATTTGTGTCAGCATGGTTTAATGGTTTGAGCGCTGAATTATGACTCGGAAAGCACTGTTTGAATCTTTCCTACAACTTTTTAAATGTACTGTTTCTGTGTCAAAGGAGGAAATACTGTAACTACATTTTGCATTAGGGAAGACTCACCTGGAGTACCGTGTGCAATTCTGGGCACCTCATTTTAAGAAAGATATAGACAAATTGGAGCAGGTCCAGGGAAGAGCAAGAACAATGACAAGGGGCATAGAGAACAAAACATATGGTGAAAGGAAGTTGGACATGTTCAGCCTGCTGAAGAGAACACAGAGTTTTAAGAATGCATCTGTAAATATCTAAAGGACTGCCACAGAGAAGAGAGTGTGGGATTGTTTTCTGCTGTCCCAAGTTGTAGGACCAGACCTAATAATTTTAAGTAACAGGAGGCTGGATTTCAAGGAACTTCTTGATGATAACTGTGTTTCAGCAATGGAACAATATGCCTAGAGAGGTGGTGGAGTTTCTTTCTCTGGATGCAAGAATCTTGTCAACTACTTGCCAGGTATTTCCTGTATTGCATTTGGGAGTGGACTCCATGGCTCCTGAGGCTCATCCAGTTCTATGATTATATGCTTCTGTGTCCTGATTATCAAAAGTTGCAATCCCTATTACTCAAATTGTTCATGTTGACATCAAGCAATATATCCTTATCTGTCAAGCTTCATCCTTCAAGTTCCAGTTCTTTTCTTGATTCATTAGAGAATGATAGTCTTTGGAGAAAGAGTAAGAAGACTAAAATAACTACAGGCCATAAAGCTCCAAAACAGCATATGGGCAAGGAAATCTAGGAAGGGAACACATATTGCAGAAATGTCAGAAAGTGGTACTGGAAAGTTGATGCTGAGCTGCACTTCCATGCTGGTGTGTCAAGAACCATGGTGAGGAGGAGAACAGAAGTAAAGAGAAAATGCCAAGGGTTTTTTTCTTTTAGATCAGCAAAGCTGGAATCCTCCATAGCAGTTATGAGTGCATAACCGAAAGTTGTGCGTTTGTGACTGTTATATATTCATGGTTCTTACATAGCTCCTAGTTTAAGGGCTATGGAGGGAATGTGAATGCCTCCAATTCCCATTTACTGGACACAGCTACTGCTCCCCTAGTTTAGGAGCTATGTAGGGACAATTTATGTTTTACACATAACTGTCATTTTTGGTGATGATACCGTTGAATTAGTCTGCAATGCATCACTAGGCCAGTAAGTGGCTGATTTTTACTGTCATTGCAGAACTGTATTTGACTGCTCTGTGATGTCTGTTATCTTCAGAATTTCTCATATTTTTATGATGCTACTATTTATGATGCTACTATTTTGATTGTCTTCACAGAAAACGATAAAATAAACATTTTAAAGTGACTAGCTTTTGTGAATTCAGAAAACAGTGCTATGTAGGATCTTATCCCATGGCTTTTGGAAGTGCTGTAGGCATAGCGTGGGAT